ACACTCCGTTACATCCAACCTGTCACTGCAACGGTCGCCACTTCAGGCATCCCGCCCTGGATAATGGATGCCGATCTATGCAGAGCCTGGCACCACCAGAGCGGCTTACGCTCCGAGCGACCGCGAGCGGGCTGGCAGGACTCGTCATCGGTCCGCCGGCGGGAGCGGACCCGCACAGCCGGTCCAAGCGGGGCCCGTTACGCCACTGCGGTCATAAATCAGCACTGGCCTGTCCCCTGGGGCGAGAGAGCATGGATGCGACCGTGGATGGACCGGGGACGAGTCAGGCGCTGGGGTGAGGTAACGGCGCCACTGGTGACACCCGAGGACTGGGGCGCGGCAACGGCGCCACTGGTGACACCCGAGGACTGGGGCGCGGTAACGGCGCCACTGGTGACACCCGAGGACTGGGGCGAGGTAACGGCGCCACTGGTGACACCCGAGGACTGGGGGGAGGTAACGGCGCCACTCTTGACACCCGAGCACTGGGGCGAGGTGACGCAAGCAATGGTCTGGATCCAGAGGGCGGGTGCCCGATCGCATCGCAAATGGATCACAGGATCGCTTAGTGATTGGATCGGGGTTCCCTTCTGTTGTGACTTCGTTTTTGGGATAGCCCATGTTATGACGAGCAGGCTCCGCGGAGGACACCTAACATGCCAGAATCGGCAAACAGGCTGCGGCCTGGCGTGAGTTTGCAGTCCCAACTGGGAACATCTGAATGGCGGAGTCGTTTATCAGGACTGGAAATGCATTTGAGGGCTGGTGTGAGATAGCGGCATCCACGGGACCGATCTAGCTGCAGGGTAACGTGACGGCGCGGCAACGTGGACAAATGATTGATTCTGGGCAGAGGTGGTGGTTGTCGCTGGTAATATTTCCGGACACTTGTTAGATCTATAAGATATTTCAGATATTTCGGTCGCCATAGTATTTGATCACACTCACATCAGATGTTGATCTGACATGTAGGGTCGGGTGCCAGGTTTCTCTGATGGCGGAGCTATCCGCTGTGATGAAACGACCAGTTACTCGAGCGCCCGTCGCTATATGGTTCAGCTAAACGAACGTGTCAGGAGTGAACGCGGCAATAGACTAAGGACGCGTATCGTGCGGGCTGGGATATCACGTCACTCTGGGACACGTGAGATGCCCTGGTGCGAGGGCACAGTCTCTGCTGAGGACGCAAGCGCGCGTGGGCTGGACGACAGACCGTAATGAGGACAGATGAGGCACCGGGGCGAGGCAGCAGTCCCCGCACTGGGTGCGCTGAACGTGCGGTGGCGGGCAACAGATCTCTCCTGGGACGGAGACGCCCTGGTCTGAGGCAACCGTCCCCATTGGGGACACCCGAAGCGCGGGTGAGGCAACGGCCGTGTGCGCCGGGCGCCGCCTTTCACGGCGTCACCTCTGGCCGCGTCCCGTGACCCTCTGGGAGCCGCCCCGCTGCAACCGAGCGGGGCGCGGCCAGACGCGGCGCCGCCCCGGCCGCCCGCCTGGCCGCGGGTTCACCGGTCGCCGCCGGAACGGTCCGTTGACGAGCCACGCGCGCCTGTTTACAAGACCGCGCGTAATTGATAAGGCGCGCCGGCGGGCCACAAAGCGTGCCCGCGGTTTGTTGCCGCGGTTGCGCGAGCCGTTTGTCGCCGCGGCGCGCGCCGCCGGCCGGACGCGTCTCGCGGGTCTCGCGTGGCGCGGCGCCGCCCGCGGCGGTGGAGAGACGAGGCCTCACCGAGGCGGTGCGCGTGGCGCGGCCGGTTTGATGGACGGCCGGCGGCCGGCGGTGACGCAAACAAACGGAATTTTAAGGGGATGGGAGACCTGGCTGGTGACCTCAGCTCCCACGCAGCCCGCCATTCGGGCGTGTGGCCGGGCGTCGGCCGGCGCGCGATCGGCTGGTGCGAGAGGGCCTTCGCCGCGCTGAACGCCGGCGTCGCGGAAGACCTCTCCAGGCGGCGGTGCCGGCCGGCCGAACCCGGAGCGTGGCGACGGCACGCAGGCCCACGCCGCGCTGGCCGGCCGCCGTGGGTAATGGGTGCCGGAGCCAGGGTCACGGTCGCGTGGCTGTCCTCGGCGGTGGGCGGGCCGAGGGAGGCCACCAGGCCACCGATGGCGGAAACATGGTCACGGCAATGTCCGGCGTCAAAGGTTGAGTCAGAGCAGAAGCTGGGTCCCTACAACGGATCCTGTTGACCGAGATCCAGGTCCTGTCATTGATGGCGCCCCGTGGAGACGGGATTCACATCAGGAGGCGTCAGGGTAGAGGTGTCTATAGAGGTCCCGGGTGATTTGGGGCAGGGTTGGGGGTGTTCCATTGTCAGTTTGCGATGGGGATGCAGCTCTCGCCTCCTATTCATTAATCCGGTTGCAGTAATGGATTGGGAACAGCAAAGGGATCGTGCCGCTTTATGTGAAAGTATCGCGTTGCGCAGTGGCTAGTTGGGCCTGCACTTACCATCACGAACAGTAATTATCAAATTAGCATATCTTCACGCCGCTTACGGGAGGCAAAATCAGCCCATGGCGGAGATGTGGCGCAACTCGAGCAGTTTGTCTACGGCGGTAATGTTCGCGATTCACATTACATTCACACGGTCTCAATGTCTAAAGTGTGACCGATCCGGATTTTTCGTCCTTTTTACTACAACTACCCGAACGGGGGTTAATCGTTTCGCCCGTATGCCAAGGCCACCAACGAACGACAAAAACACCGTCATGCCTCATCACAAGCAGCGACTGAAAATGAGTGCATGACCAAGATTCCGACAACTGGAGGTCACCCAGTCATTACGTCATGCGACACCGAAAAAAGACAATTGTGTCCCGCTCTCACCACTGACAACCAGCGACCAACCAGGAGAGAGGCCGGAGCCCAACCCGGCCGGCTCCTCGCCCGTCATTGGCTGGTGCGTGGGACACGCCGCTCGCGGCCAAAGACGCCCTCGTCGCCTATGTAGTCGGGGCGCGTACGGCATCGACAAACGGTCCTCGCACGTCCTTTGTCTTCCGTGACGCCACGGCTTGCGCAAGCCGCCTGCCGAGGAGCGATGGGGTCGACTGGGGTCGGGGTATGCACTTAGCAGGTGTCCGTGGGATTAGTCACTGTCAGGAGCTGTTGAGGGCTGGCGCCGTTGTGCTGTTCACAACTGTAATTAGGCGTTGAAATTGATATGCCCGCTACCGTGCCGGTGCCTAATGTCTCAACCACTCCACCCAGAGCCGACGTGTCCAAGGCTGTGCCCACGGCAAATTTTTTCCACCGTTTTGTTCATCGCTGACGCACTAAGTGCCGCGTCCACAGCTGATGTGCCAACTACCGCGTCCAGGGTTGGTTTGTCGACTGCCTAAATTACAGCTGACGTGTTGGCTGCCGAGTGCGGAGGCTGAAGTGCTAACCGACGCGTTGACAGATATTCCGTCATAACATCCACACCTTGTACTGACCGTCGTCCACAGATGACGCGTTGACGGTTAATCTGTCATAACATCCACACCTTGTACTGACCGTCGTCCACAGCTGACGCGTTGACGACTAATCCATCATAACATCTACACCTTATACTGAATGTCGTCCACAGCTGACGTGTTGACAGTTAATCCGTCATGACATCCACACCTTGTATTGACTGTCGTCCACAGCTGAGGTATCTATTGTTTTGTCGACAGGTGATGCGTTTCAGGTCTTGTCCTTAGTTCACAGGTGATGTGTCCATGGCCACGTATGATGCTGATTATTGCTGATGGTGCAGATGATGGCAAAGACTGCCGTGTTCATCGCTGATAAGTAGACTGTCAGGTTTGCAGCTGGTTGTGGACTACCGGATACGCAGCTGATGTGTGGACCAACGGGTCAGCAGCTGGTGTGTGAACTACCGGATCCACAGCTGATGTGTGGACTGCCGTGTCCGCAGCTGGTGTGTTGATCATTGCGTTCCTGTTTCCACAGCTGATGTGTGGACTGCCGTGTCCGCAGCTGGTGTGTTGACCATTGCGTTCCTGTTTCCACAGCTGATGTGTGGACTGCCGGGTCCGCAACTGGTGTGTTGATCATTGCGTTCCTGTTTCCGCAGCTGATGTGTGGACTGCCGGGTCCGCAACTGGTGTGTTGATCATTGCGTTCCTGTTTCCACAGCTGATATGGGGACTGTCAGGTCCACAGCTGGTGTGTTGATCATTGCGTTCCTGTTTCCACAGCTGATGTGTGGACCGCCACGTCCGCAGCTGGTGCGTTGATCATTGCGCTTCTGTTTCCCCAGCTGATGTGTGGACTGCCGGGTCCGCAGCTGGTGTGTTGATCATTGCGTTCCTGTTTCCACAGCTGATGTGTGGACTGCCGTGTCCGCAGCTGGTGTGTTGACCATTGCGTTCCTGTTTCCACAGCTGATGTGTGGACTGCCGGGTCCGCAACTGGTGTGTTGATCATTGCGTTCCTGTTTCCGCAGCTGATGTGTGGACTGCCGGGTCCGCAACTGGTGTGTTGATCATTGCGTTCCTGTTTCCACAGCTGATATGGGGACTGCCAGGTCCACAGCTGGTGTGTTGATCTTTGCGTTCCTGTTTCCGCAGCTGATATGGGGACTGCCAGGTCCACAGCTGGTGTGTTGATCATTGCGCTTCTGTTTCCACAGCTGATGTGTGGACTGCCGGGTCCGCAACTGGTGTGTTGATCATTGCGCTTCTGCTTCCACAGCTGATGTGTGGACTGCCGTGTCCGCGGCCGGTGTGTTGATCTTTGCGTTCCTGTTTCCGCAGCTGATATGGGGACTGCCAGGTCCACAGCTGGTGTGTTGATCATTGCGCTTCTGCTTCCACAGCTGATGTGTGGACTGCCGGGTCCGCGGCCGGTGTGTTGACCATTGCGCTCCTGTTTCCACAGCTGATGTGTGGACTGCCGGGTCCGCAGCCGGTGTGTTGATCTTTGCGTTCCTGTTTCCGCAGCTGATATGGGGACTGCCAGGTCCACAGCTGGTGTGTTGATCATTGCGCTCCTGTTTCCACAGCTGATGTGTGGACTGCCAGGTCCGCAGCTGCCGCCCCCGTCATGGCAGCAGCACAGCGACGATCACCTTCCGGGAGGCTTCTACCGACCTTTGCTTTACTGGTAAGACGCCTGGAACCATGATCATCCCGTGGTTACGGCCAACTTACATTTTTTCTTCAGCTACGCCGGACGTCATACCCCGCGCTCCATCCTTGCGTTCCGTGAGCCAACCCATAAGTACACTTTGCGTTCGAATTTTCAGGAACACAGCCGTTATCTTTTCAGCATGGTAATGAACGAGTCATATCGGTACATTCGGAAACGTGCTTGGTCTATTCCGGAATGGTGCAGAATCCAGCTGACTTCTTCTAAGGCGGTGGTGCGGTGGACCAGACACCCAACTAGCCGAGAAGCACGTACAGATACCGACGGCTCCCACCAGTCGCGAAAATGGATCGGCCTCTTCTCCGGGCCAGTGGGAAGCGCAGTGAGAGGAGTGCTTGCACAACAGCACGTGGCGAGACTGCGAGATGGCTTATCAAGAGCCGATACACGGTACACCCAAACTCTGGGCCACCGCTCTCCTTCTGGTTGTGCAAGCGCCACTCGGCCGGGCCACCTACGTGACGGGGGATTGTTCGTCTGGGTCGCCGGGCTGGACAATAGTCGCTGATTTGACTGCGTCACCGGGTCCAGTGTCCAGCTCCCGAGGCTGACATCGGGCCGGGAGATCGTCACTGAAGCTGCAGGTGGTCTGCTGCGGCCATGCAAACTGTTGACGCTATTCTCACCGATCATATGTGGGGTTAGAGCTGCAGAAGGCGCTTATATGACCAGTTGAAATACCTTGCCCCGCTCTATCCCCAGTGCGCTTGCTCTGTTTCTGCGTCTCAGACCTTGCGTCCCAATGGTCTTGAACGGCTCTAAAACGTCCGTGAAGGGGCACCCCACGTGCGCTTTATGACCACTTCACTCCGGTCTCACCCAAGGCAGGGTAGCCCAAGGAACTTCCCATTCTAAGTGTCATGGTTAGCGCTGCGGCTTTCCAAGCTCTTTGGCCGGACGCCAAACAACGGGCTGTGCCGTGTGAACTCTTGGGAGCGAGGCACGCCGATTGGTCTGTCGGCTCGGGCATGGTTCAGTAACCTGTCTTGTTTCGTTTGGTCGAACTCACCTAAACGCTGCAAACCCGGTTGAAGATCAACCGGTTTCCGCTGCGGCTGTTCTTTTCAGTGAAATCAAGATTTGTTGACCTTAGTTTGGTGAGCCCGAGCCGCCCACTCTGGCAGGATCACGTTCAATTCAGCGATGCCGCCTGACCTGTCAGTGTCCCTTTCATACCATCACGACCGCCTGATCTGGCTGGATCCCCTTTGACTCGGTCGCATTCCTCGTTTGGCGTGGTTCAGCCTCACACCTCGCTCAGAAGGTTGCCACCGAATTCAGTCAGCCCAGGCCTGGCTTACCGTCGTTGCCTGTTTCAGCCGGCTGGCGTTCAGTTCACTGTTGTCTCGGAATTGCACGCTTCAGGTCCTGGTCCCGCTCCCCTGTTTCCGTTGACCCTCTGAATGACACCCTTCGGGTGCTGATCCCGCTGCCCTGTTTCAGCTGACCTTCTGAATCATACGCTTTAGGTGCTGATCCCGCCGCCCTGTTTCAGCTGGCCTTCTGCCTGGCGAGCTCCGGCGCCTCTGACCCGCTGCTGGCGCAGGCCCTGCGGCGTAAGCAGCAGGTGGAGCGCCACCGCCACCGGCTGCTAACCGGCGGCCGCGGCCTGAGCCTTCCCGGCGGCTTCCGACAGCTGGAGACGGTCACTCCCCGGCCAGGTGCGGAGCGCGACACCACCGGCAGACCCAACATCAGCTCTTGATGGGGGTGGGGGGCCGCTAGCGAGGCCTAAAGAGAGGAACTTTTGCTAATGCGTCATCTTGAACGGCCTTGGCCCCGAGCCGTCAGTACATCACCGAAACTGTTTTGTCGGGCTGCGTGGGCGTTCTTTAACTGCTTAAGGCCTAGAGGCCCCAGGCAGAGGTACATGGCTGGAGTCCAGGTCCCTTCTGCACGCGAGTTTAGTTTCACTCGCGTGCAAAAGGGGCAGTTTCAGGCATCGGGCACTTGCGCCCGTTCGCGTAATCACTGTGGACATTTGTCTTGGCCCGCCTCTGAACTAATCCGTCCACTCATGGAGCGACGTAATCACAGGTTTGGCTGCGGTAACGCAGGGGAAGGAGGGGGAAGGGTTCAGCCCGTCTTCTGTCGCCAGTGAAGGGTCGCGACGTCCGGGTTATTTTTATCCAACAGCGGTGTCGGCAGCACCCCAGTGAGGAAGATTGTGGGGTAGCACGTTAGCCCATGCCAATTAACCCTTCCGTGCTTGACTGTCAGCTTCGGGAGCTGTATTGTGGCTTGTTCTCAACTTTTTTCGGACCTTTAAGTCGTCAGGCGGGCATTGGTAAGCAACCTTACAAACCAGCAGTAAAGCTTTGTTGGCGCGTCACGACGAGCGGCAAGAAGGTCAGTGCAGGATCTATTCCCTCGCCAGTAACATCTGCCAATGAACAATCCAGCAATCATGGTGACTTCAGTCAGTTAATTACACATGTTTTTTTATAAACGTTGAGCTATTCTTTGCTCTTCCGCAGAGGCGTAACAGGTATTGTGATAACAAATCTCCATGGCCGCTGTACACAATCACGTCAGTCGTGCTTAGACCGCGTTAATGGCTTTGCACGTGTTCCAAAATCCTTACGTCACGTCTTTTTTGTCGTAACGCTTAGGTAAGCTGCGGCTCGCGCCGCTTGTAGTTGTGCTTACTTCAAGTGCTTTATTGGAGGGAGCCTGGCGCGACACCGAACTTAAAGCTAGACCTATTGGCGAAACACTGGAAGATATGTTTGAGTTGACAGCTTCTGGCAGAGCTTAGTTGATGAAACTAACCTGTACACCGGCCAGTATTTATAAGTGGCTCAGTGTGTCTCACCGCACTAGGCGCTAGTACATTTATGTGCAGCTGCTGACTGGGCGAGAGATGAGAATGTTATGATGAAAGCAGATCCAGCAAGCACGACTGCTAAAATATGTGTACTGCAATATTGCATGGCTTGATGCAGTGATGCGTTAAAATAAAATGTGAAGAAAAAATTGGAGGCGAGGTCCAAAACCCAAAAATTTAAATGATCCACCTCATATGAACACTTCTTCAGCGAATGTATGGGTGTTGGGATTCCACTGCGATGAGCGTAGCACTCGTTTTGGGCAGTATGCGGCCATTTGATCTGCTGAACGTGGACCAGAGTTGCGCGAAATTTAGCGCACCGGCAATATCGATTTTAATATCACACCGGATAATTTAATTTCCCAATGTTTTCATTGCAGTTTTTGACTGGGATATCCTTCATGCGGCGCGACAATTGTCGAGTCCGTAGGAATGGCACGTAAGCTGACAGTACTGATTACAAATGAAGCGAACGTCTACCTGTACACGCCATCGCTCGCATGCATGCATACAAAGATAGAGTGGCAAAAAATACAAACCGGCAAATCGCCTTGCATCGGCAGATGACATCAGTAGCTGTGTCATCCCACAACAGCTACGATTATGACAGGCTGAATTAAATTCGGGCGATAAGCGCGAGAAAGGTTGTTAATCTGAGAAGATCGTTTTTGCGGCAAGCCTATGGATATATGAGCTACGCATTAAACCTGGCATATCACGCCGTTGGTACGGATTCCAAGTTTACCTCTTTAATCTACGCCCAGCTGGAGGCCCGAGACAACCTCGCCCGGGCGGGGGCGTTGGCTTTCCCCCGGGAATCTCAAACTTCCAGACGCCGTACGAGAAAAAAGGCGTTGCAAAGGTTCCGTCAAGTCATGAACAACGCATCCAAAAATTTTGACCTCAGGTCAACTGTGAATTCACCAGGGCTCATGAAATGTAAAAACGGTTGCTTTTGTAAATGCAGTTCAAATATGCGTTAACACGTCAATATGGATATTGAGGCCACAGATGTGGGTATTGAGACTGTAGGGTGAGAAAGGGGTGAGAATTGGTCCATTGCGACCACTTCTGTTTTCACACTACGGTCAAATTATTTCAGCTCATCGTTCAAAATTGGAACGATGACCGTTCCATCGTTCAAAATTGGAACAATACAAAGTAACGATACAAACAAAAAGAAAAAGTTTGCTTTCCCTGTGTTTTAAGTTTATTCTATTTCGTGCACCTGTGAGAAAACAATACTCCAAGCATAAAATGTCATTTTAGGGTGACCCTGTAGTCAGGTGAGCTCAACTTGCGTCAAGTTTATAAGCCACCCAACTGACCAAATTGGAGTGCTCACTGGGTGTATGCGACCAGTGCGATGCTGTTTTACGGTCAGAAATAGTGTGGTGTAAACTTACAAATACTCAGGGACTCATAGCTGTTGTTAACATTACACCTAATGCTTTCGACGCTTGGTAATGTATTTGTAACAAACTGAGAACGGGCCCGTTGGCACATGAAATTAAGCGTCAGCAGCCTCATAAACACGATGTAGTGGTGGTTACACGCATCTTACTGGTCATCCAACCTTTCCGCTGCCGACAACAGAGGAAATCGACCTTTGATGATCTCATATGACCTTGCATAGCATCAGGCGAGCTATTGTGAGCTCATTATGCATTATAATGACACCACATCTTTCAGTGGAGTATTCAAATTCTGCGCCCAAAATTTACGAAACCACTGTTGGGCTCAGCAGGTGTTTCACAAAAGGCACCCATGGAGGTAGGCCCTACCTGGGCAAGATTGTGCGCCCTGTGGTCATAAGATCGCTGTGCACGTAAGCTAGTGCCCTTTCCCCTTATAAAAGTACCAATATCACACAAAATGCATGCAAAATTACGTGATTTACGCTAAAATATCAAGCATTGCACTGACTTCAGCTCACTGGTCTCGTCTGTTTAAAAAAATCTGAAAGATGCATGCTGAAAATTTTGTTATGTCCTAATACTACATCAATTTTGAGTAATTAGTAACTGACCAAGAAAAACTTATCCCTGCTAAAGTTTTGTAGAGATAGACTTAGTTGACCTGACTTAGGTCATTAGCCTTCATCGATCAAAAGCTTAGATTTCCACAAAGCATGCCACATTGACAGATTACAGGTTTTTAGAATTTGGTATCGCTGCGACCTTCTGGTCTTGAGCTGTGCTCGAAAAACCGCAGAGAAAGGCAACTTTCCCGGCCGGGCGCGGGTTAGGCTATTCATCTCGCGAGCTCTCAATGGGCAGAGTTGACCAATGCATGCGGACCCGCTTGTCCGGCCCGCGCGTGGTGACCCGAGCGGGTCAACCCGCACCTATCACAGCAAGTGGTCGGGAAGGGTTTTCGTAGACGAGAGGATAATATCCCGGCTCATTCCTTCCGGTGAGGGGAATCAGACGCTTTGAAACGCTACTTGACTAGATTCGAGCCGGACATCAGCCCTTCGCCACGAAAGACTAGAATTGACTAGGCCGGCCCCCAAACAGTCAAGGAGACGGGTTTATTTTGGACAGTTTACTGGACGAGTGCACCCTTAGTGTTCTCTCTCGAACAAGGCAAGAACGGAGACGAAAGTGCCGCGAAATTTGCAAATGACACATTTATGACACGTTTTACACACCAAGTCGCTACATGCCATTTCAGGCCGCTGGGCTCTGAAGTCTCTCTGAATTCTGATGTCATCCTACATCATCTCCGACAGCCGCGGGGGGATTTTTTCAACGAATGTCAGTTTTTCGCTGGTCGGTCGCGACAAAGTGTGACCTTGGGCACTAAACCGGTATTGAACCATAGTCCCAAAGCAGCGAGGTCTTTTCGTACTGCCCAGCGACGTTTAGAAGGCCGACCAGATAGATGACCTGTGGTGACCTTATCCTACCTTAGACTGGTCCGAGACCGATGGCTGAGGTTGATCTGGTTCAGAATGCGGTAATGTGCCTCCCTAGATGGAAACGTTCCGCCCTGTGCACTGAACGGTGTCATTTTTGAATTTAGTTTTTCGAAGTATCAAGGTTGATATGTTGTCGTTGGGCTGGTGCGTTTTTGTCCGGAACCCCACCGACATACGTTGCCACAACTGTGTAAAGCACTTGTGCCATGTATCGGGGGATGCACGCGAACGGATACGAGAATGCAGCTTGGCGAGTGTGTCGGCTGCCACACCATTGTCCCTGACATGAGCACAACAAAATCAGCGTGACCCACACCAGCACGTCTTCGCTGAAAGTACTGACTTACCAGCTTTGTCACCACTAACGCTTCTCATCACTCGCCACGTGTGGGTGCGCAGCGCGGCACTCAGCCACGCTTATCATCAGCCTGCCCCACTCACGCGTGACCTGTGCGCCCCCCCCCCCCCCCCCCCCAGCAGCCTGTGACGCGTTCCAGCGCGCGGGACAGCTCCAGGTGGAGCGGAGTGTGACCGTCCATGCCATGACCGTGGCCTCGCTTCGTTCCAGCCGAGGCGTCGGCCAGCGGTCAGCAGGTGCGCCTGGTGGGCGGCCCCGGTCCGTGGGAGGGCCGAGTCCAGGTCTTCCAGGCCGGCCGCTGGCGACCGGTCCGGGCCAACCGCTGGGACGGGCCGGAGACACGGCTCGTCTGCCGTCAACTCGGCTTCGTCAGGTCAGGGCTGGCGATAGGTGGGCCCCGTCAGGTCAGGAGTGGCGGTAGGTGGGCCCCGTCAGGTCAGGAGTGGCGAGGCAAGAGATGAGCTTCGTCAGGTCAGGGGTGGCGGAAGATGAGCTTCGTCAGGTCAGGGGTGGCGGAAGATGAGCTTCGTCAGGTCAGGGGTGGCGGAAGATGAGCTTCGTCAGGTCAGGGGTGGCGGAAGATGAGCTTTGTCAGGTCAGGGGTGGCGGAAGATGAGCTTCGTCAGGTCAGGGGTGGCGGAAGATGAGCTTCGTCAGGTCAGGGGTGCAGGCAGATAGGCCCCGTCAAGTCAGGGCGGGAGGGGGGAGATAGATGGGCCCCGTCAGGTCGGGGGTGCGGGAGATGAGCTTGGTCAGGTCAGCAGCGGCAAGAGATGAGCTTCGTTAGGTCGGCAGGGGCAGATATGAGCTTTGTAAGGTCAGGGGTTTCGGAACGTGAGTTTCGTCAGGATAGGTTTGGCGAGAGATGAGCCACGTCAGGTCAGCGCGGGCAAATATGAGCTTTGTAAGGTCAGCGGTAGTGAGGATGAGCAATGTCAGGGTCATTCGTCAGGTCAGCGCGGGTAAAGGTAAGCTTTGTAAGGTCATGGGTGGCGAAAGGCGAGCCTATCATTCGAGAAGTGTGGCCAAATAGTTGAGTTTTGCTGGATCGGGAGCGGCGGTCATCCGGGCTTCACCAGATCAGGAGTGACGGCGGAAGTGCTCTGTCACTCATACGAGGTCAGTGCAGTTATGTTTGAGTGCGGCCAACACTGGCGTGTTCAAACATATCCATATGTGTCTGATGAGAACTGAGATGAGAACACCGAATCTTCAGCATTTAGCATGAGCGAAGCACACCTAAATACATCCCATAGGTAAGGTTTGGTGTCTACATTTTTCCAAGGGGCTGGTGTTTTCCAGACAGGCTTTTGCAGCGCGACGTCATGAATAACTAAGGCCATGCGAGCGGTCTTATCGGTGTGTGTGTGTTTGGAAAACCTGGCTGTTTTCAAGACATACGACCATCTGATAATCATGACTGGTATCGCAGGGCGTTTTCACTGTTGGATGCACTTTTCGCATAATGGCGCCAGACAATAGTTAAGCAGGATCGTGTTCTGGACATCTGGCAAATGAGGAGCAGATGTTGTAAAGTAGGATGAACATTGTAGAGAAATCGTTGAAGCTTCGACAGTCATCAGAACTGTCAGCATGGTAAAATAACTAAAATAAAACGTTGGTTGTCCTTGCACAACCCTGTCTGAGTGTTTGAATAGAATCACATGTCACCAATCACTGGTATTCATTGTAGCCTCTGATAACGATCTGTTTGTTAGTTATGCTTTAGTGCATGCTAGATAAAATCAATAACTGACCGCAACAATTGGGCGCTTTCCAGTTTCTACACCAAATGCCCGGATACCTTGATCGACAACCAGCCGCCCAGCCCGATCGACCCTCTCGACATCGACAAATGCTTTGATAACCAAGACTCCATTCTGGACTGTGCGCGTGCGAAGGTGACCAACGAGCGCGAGGTCAGCGTGGCGTGTTACAAGGATGATGACCTGACCAGCCGCTGTGGCGACGGCGAGCTACCCTTCGGCGACTTCTGCTACCTGATTGGCGAGGAGCGCGTGACGCGCCTCAAGGCTGAGATACGGTGTCAGCAGGCGGGCGCCAGGCTGGTCGAGGTCACATCACAGGTGAGGAGCCAACCGATGTCATTCGTCCTCACAAACCTGCTAATCTGCGATGCTTTTGAAAAACGGCGGTGTGTGATCGCGTCGTCTGTGCTACTTCTTCTATTGTGGGCTGGCAAAGGGCAGTGATAATTTTGAGCGAGAGGTTATGCTAATTTCTACACCTTCGACATCAAGGCTTCGTTTGCGGACATTATGCCGGTCGAGAGCTTGTGAATGGCGCGAGCCCTTCACGACAATGCCTCCATCGCCCGTCGACTGTGACTGACCGAGCTCGTGACGCAACGACAGGCGAAGAACGACTTCTTGAGCGGCGTGCTGATGGCGAAAGGCTTGTCCGGGTTTCACACTGCAGGCTACGGTGAAGCCCTGAGCAGCAAAACCAGGGTCTGGTCGTGGAAAAACTCCTCCAAGGATTTCTTATTCACCAACTGGAACCCAGGTGGGTGATCATCAGAAACCTTGCGCGCCTTCAGCAAGCTGGGTGTTCATTGAACGGCCTGTAAAGGCCCTATACAAATAACCAGTCGATGCATCCAGAAAATCCGACCATTTTCAGCCGGTCGCAAGGACTTCCTCTAGGAAAGAGGTCAGTCTGTCAGGTGTCTTTGCGTCATGATGCTCATGATGCCATGGTGCCCTTTGGACCATGGCTGGTATCCGCAGCTAAACCGCTGGCATTTTGTGTGTGTTTGTGACGATGATGTGTCCCCGGCAGTCAGTACATGTCCTACTCGCTCCCAAAAGCCAGAGCCTGGTCTTCTGCAAACGACAGTCAGATGCCCAGGGTAAATGCCCCCCCCCCTCTCTCCCCCCTCTCCCCCCGCCCTCCGATGATAGAGCCTGCCCGCCTGTCCGTCTGCTCGTCTGATATGTCAAACTCCTCGTGCGCGGTAATGCCCGAAACCTTACAACCACAACATTATAGTGCAGAGCGCGCGCATGCATAGCACAACACACATTTCAAGCAGATATGGACGTATTCTCTCACACACGTGCTTCTAGACCACAAGCACGCACACCACACACTTACACGTACATGAACGCATTCATGACTGTCCTCCATGCACCATCCGCGGTAAATACGTGTTGTGTGTGATCGAGGTGAGAGATCGCAGTGGCACTCGCTCCAAAGCGAACTCACGAAAACTGAATGTTGTGGGTTTATTGTGGACCGTGCTGTACATAATATTCTGTGTGAGTAATGATTTGAGGTGATGTGCTCGCACACATGACAGGCTGCTATGACATAACGGGTGTGTCTGGATATGGTTGCCGAATGTGATGTGTGATCGACATGGTACGCATCGTCTTCGTATGATGATTCGGATTGTGTATGATGTGATTTGCGAATAAACTGAGAAAAGACTGCTCGCGCGCGCGGCCGACAAGATCGGCCCGGGTGACATGACCCCTGACCCCGGTTTCAGCGACGTCGGACGGAGCCGGTGCCGGGAAGAATTCGTTTGAGCCGCGCTGCCTGACTCTGCAGCCGTCTGAGGTCGAGGACGGGTCACGGTACGCCTTCTGGGAGGCCTCGGAGTGCGGCAGCCGTCTGGAGTACGTCTGTCAGGCGTTCAAGCCCTGGACCGGTAAGTGGCACTGCCAGAGCAGCCGAGGGATTATGTGAATGATGTGAGGGAGGCGCTGTCATGGAAGCATCATGTAGCATGTACAAATTATATTGGCAATTTAATCTGGAATAAAGGTATTCGTCTCCTCCTACACATACATTCCATCGCCTTACAGGGGAAATCGGTTGGCATCTGAAATTATCGTCAAGTGTAACGTTCTCTCGCGAGCTTGCGCGTGGAAGGCATTGTAGGAGGCTTATTAGCACATAGCTAGGCGCGAGGCATGCTCCACCACGCGCCACGCACGACTTTCGTCTGCACCGGAGCGTTGGACAGCGGCTCGCTATGAACGGTATCGTGACAGGAACTCTGCTCGGCCGTCATAATGAAAGTGGCTTTTTCTACGCGGTCATGCCCGTTACTTAGGGGCACGCAGCCTGAGAATGCGAAATGGGACGGGCAGGGATGCACTTCCATCGACTTTGTGGCTGGGTTAATTGCTGGTATCAGCCTTTCAAAAAAGAATCGGCTCTGTCGTTTTACGATGCCAGGTACAACGATATCCTCATAGTTTACCGTCAACTGGGGATACGTACGCCGTTATTCCCCTTGCGAATCTCTTTAAAGGCTTCTTTGGAAAAGATCGTCCTATCGCATATGTATCTCATGTTTGTACTATAAGCCGACCCCATGTGTCGGGCTCTAGCCGAGGTTTGGGTTCAAGTTGTAAACTTTTCAACCTATTAACATCAGGTTAATATATTGGACCGCTAGCTGTAATTTGATACGGCCTTATTTGATATACGGCGCATTTTCCTAGTGCTTCTTTTTTATGTCCACATCTCAGCTCTACGTGCTGCAAGATAGATCTGCTCATCAATTTACAGCAGTTTTGACGCATGCCACGGAGTTACCTCTACAACAGGGGTAACAGCTTGCAACAATGTCTCCCATTGCATTCATTCCGACAAAAGTGATATCACCAGGAACAAGGGCTTCACTGCTCTTTCCATCTTCAACATGGGGACCCATTGTTTGACTCAAAGTATCCAAGGCGCACGACCGCCAGCGCCGCCGCCGCCGCGGTGGGAGACATCACTAGTTCCGCTTCCGCCGGCAGAGTGCGTCTCCGGCAACGGCGCCACTTACGCGGGGAACGCCAGCACTGCCGAGTCGGACAAGCCGTGCCTGCCGTGGACGGCGGTGTCGCGCTACCCGGGCCTTACCAGCCCCACACTGACGGAGAACTTCTGCCGCAACCCGGACGGCGACGAGCGGCCGTGGTGCTTCACCAGCGCCGACCAGTTCGAGTACTGCGACATCCCGGCCTGTCCGCCCTTCCTGCCGCGCTCCGGTGAGCGGGCCCGATCGGTCCGAGCCGGGGCCGGTGGTGGGGGGACGGTGACGGCGCGCGGGCCACCGCATGGCGTCGGCCCGGGACCGGCGCGCGGTAGGTGTCTCGACGAGAGGCGATCGGTGCTGCCCGTCCCTCAGTTTACCACATAACCGTTTGATGGGATGTGAGAAGTTTAGGCACTTCGATTTCTGAATGATGCCATTCCCTGAACCGAGTTGACTTATCGAAATTCCTTGCCATTGACGCAAAGAACATTGCTGCCACTACATGCACGTCGTTAGTGGGTATAGTTCCCAATATTTCCGGCTGGGTAATGATTGCAATGGGTAATGGTGGTAAGCAATGGGTAATGCCTGTGCCTGAATACAGTCGTGCAGCGGCTCGCAGTGGAGCACACGCCCCGTTTTCAGACATTAAGAGCCAGGAGCCGTGCAGCGACACCAGCTTCCGGTGCGGACTGGACGACTGTGTGCCCAAGGAGTACGTGTGCGACGGCGATACGGACTGCTCCAACGGTCGCGACGAGGCCGTTTGCGATGCCCTGGCCGCCAACTACCAGGTCAGGTGACCTCCCCCGCCAGCAGGGGCGTGGGGCGCGGCGTGGCAGGCCTCAAACGTCTGCAGCTGACCCATTAAACGTTTTTTTTAATAGTCTGGCTCAGATCGAGCCCTCTGTTATATTTAAAGGAGTTAATTAGTAATATAAGTTAAGCATCCAACGTATTTCTTTCCCAGTGCTCTTTTGCAGCACAGTCAAATAACTCGCTAAAGACGATATCCGACTTGATGCCGTGACATCTAGTCGACGCGTCTTTTCGATGACGCGGATACATTTCATGACGCCCGCGCCTCGAGTCAGAATGCGCAGAATATGGCGGTCGGTGTCGATCAAGCATGACGGTTCCACGTAAGGATGGAAATCGCCGCGTCACAAACACGACAGACTCTGCGATCCGAAGATAACCGCCGTTACTTTTCAAAGATGACAGCTGATGCCGCCCACAGATGACAGCTACTACTGTCGGATGGCCAACGTACCCTCTGTGCCTCAGGCTTTTCCCAACAACGACCTGCGCGTGATTGGCGACTTCATCGGGCTGGTGCGTTACACGTCGCGCACGCTTCGCAACTGCCAGTACCTCTGCCTGCTGGACGCCGCCTGTCGTATGTTCGTCTACTTCGAGGACGAGAGCTTGTGCATCTCGACGGCCACGCCGCTGGGCATGGCCTGGCCGACGCGGGCGCCCGGCCACAGCCTGTACGTGGTGCTGACGCGCTACGAGCCGTGCGCCGGCTACCGATGCAGCAACTTCCAGTGCCTCAACAAGACGGACGCCGGCTGCGACGGCATCACCGACTGCGACGACCTCTCCGACGAGAACGACTGCAGCGACGACTACGGCTTCCGGCTGCGGCTGGCAGATGGCAGCACCGCCGGCGCCGGCCGGCTCGAAGCGCGCATCCGTGGCCGCTGGGGCCCCGTGTGCGACGATCTATTCGACATCGACTCGGCGCACATCTCCTGCCGCGAGCTGGGCTTCCGGCGCGCGCGCCAGTTCTACCTAAACGGCCGCCGGTACCCGGCGTCCGGGGAGTACGAGTACGCGCTGTTCGGCGCGCTCTGCGCCGGCAACGAGACGTCTCTCTCGCAGTGCACGCTGCTGCAGACGCCCGGCCGCTGCGTGGCCGGCGAGACGGTCGGCCTGGAGTGCACGGACGAGGCGTCGCTCTGTTCGTCCACGGTCAGCTCGTACCAGTGTCCGGACGGGTCCGGATGCGTCACCCAGCAGTACATGTGCAGGTGAGCGCGTGGGACGGTCTGCTGGGCGGCTGAGGTGATATAGGTGCTGGGCGTCACGCAGCAGTACATGTGCAGGTGAGCGTGTGGGGACGGTCTGCTGGGCGGCTGAGGTGATATAGGTGCTGGGCATCACGCAGCAGTACATGTGCAGGTGAGCGTTCACACAGCAGTACATGTGCAGGTGAACACGTGGGACGGTCTGCTGGGGCGGGCTGAGGTGATATAGGTGCTGGACCATCACGCAGCATACATGTGCAGGTGGCGCGTGGGACGGGTCTGCTGGCGCTGAGGTGATATAGGTGCTGGGGCATCACAGCACAGCAGCGTACATGTGCAGGTGAACACGTGGGACGGTCCTGCTGGGCGGCTGAGGTGATATAGGTGCTGGGCGTCGCGCAGCAGTACATGTGCAGGTGAACACGTGGGACGGTCTGCTGGGCGGCTGAGGTGATATAGGTGCTGGGCGTCACGCAGCAGTACATGTGCAAGTGAGCGCGTGGGACGGTCTGCTGGGCGGCTGAGGTGACATAGGTGCTGGGCATCACGCAGCAGTACATGTGCAGGTGAGCGCGTGGGACGGTCTGCTAGGCGACTCAGGTGATATAGGTGCTGGGCATCACGCAGCAGTACATGTGCAGGTGAGCGCGTGGGACGGTCTGCTGGGCGGCTAAGGTGATCAATACGACCACGACGTCGCTCTTTACGTACTAAAACAATACAGATGTTTCCGTGCCTTTGCTTGAGGCAGCTAAAGAGATGTCACGTCTCAGTTTTTAGCACGTGCGACACAGGCGTTGATCAATCCACTTTCAAACACTTCCGAAGGCAGCACCAAAACAAACGGCCATCACCTCCCACCTCCGCCAACAGCGCTCTTGTGACTCTTGTCCCCCCTCCCCTCCCCCACTGATTCTGAGCCCTGGCGGCTCAGTCCCCCTTCCACTGATGTCTCCCTCTGCGCCACAGCGGGTAATAGTGGCTCGGACTCATCTCCCCTCCACTGACGCTTCCCTCCGCGCTGCAGAGAGCACGCGCGCCTCAGACCCACCTCCCGTCCACTGACGCCCCCTCCCTCCGCGCTGCAGAGGGCACGCGCGCCTCGGACCCACTTGCCACCCACTGACGCCCCCTCCCTCCGCGTCGCAGCGGGCAGAACTCGTGTGACGACGGCAGCGACGAGAATGATGACGTGTGCGAGCAGCCCCAGTACCGGCTGCACGGCGGCGGCGAGGCGCGCCTGCTGCACGTCAAGCCTCGTCGCCGCTTCTTCCGCAACGTCACCGCATATGGCTTCAACTCGGACGAGGCCGATGTGAGAGAGGACGGTGGGATAGTGGGAGTCTGTCTGGGTCGGGGTAGGCCCGGACCCTCGGCCGGTGTGTGCTGGCTGCTCCGCCGGACACTGGGTGGTTGGGGAGAGGGGCTCAAGAAATGCTGGTCGAGAAGTGTTATTGTGTTTAACACCTTCGAATGTTTAGTGCATGATGTTGGTGCTTGCAGAGTGTTTCAGCACCAAAAGGAAGCTTGTGATACGAATGTTCTGCTTGCATGGTCTTTATCTTTCTGCCCTGTTGATTTCTCTGTTTGTATTTGGCTCTTCCTTTCTTTCTCCGTCTACCCCTCTCTATCCTCGCTTACGTTACCCTTCCCACTCACCCTCATGCATGTACCTTATGATGTGCACGTCTCTCCCTCGCCGTGAGCCGCTCTGAGCGGCGCCCGCCCCTGCCCGCAGTACGTCTGCAAACAGCTGGGCCTGGGCGAGCACGGCGTGGCGTTCGAGGGGCCGGCCGTGCCAGACAGCGTGCAGATGGCCGAGCTGACGTGCTCGCCGCCGGCCGCCTGCCGCGTCGAGGCGCAGAACACCCTGCTACCGCGCGCCTCCACGCGCCTCGTGTGTCTGCCGCGGCCGCCGCCGCCGGCCGAGCTGCGCCTGTCGGGCGGACCGGACAACAGCAGCGGCCTGCTGGAGGTCCGGCCGCCGCGCGGACTCTGGGGGCGCGTCTGCTCCCTCTCCTTTAACAAGCAGCAGGCGGCGGTACGTGGGCAGCAGTGCGGCGAGCGCTTGTGGCTTGTTGGTGGCGGCTGGTGCTGTGCAGCCTTGACACGGCTCTCGACTCTCTTAACTCTCGATGAATCTGAATAAGTTGTGACGGTCGCTGATGGGTGTAAATGAGCCACACACTTTATTCCCCATAAACAACGTGTTGATTGCAGACAATACGGCTGATACCATCTTAGCGACATAACTGAGCATTGGTGTCGATGGTGAGGTTAAAACAGTCTCGCAGCACTCGATTTACTTCCCAAGTGGTCACGAATCATAAACGATGCTATTTAGTCCACCAGCCCTGGCTCAACATGAGTGACTCTCAAACAAGATACGTGAACCCGCGCTCTCAAAACTCCAACGACGGCGGCGCCCCCTACCGCCATGACACATCTTCTCTTGTCACCGACAGGTGGCGTGCCGTCAGCTGGGCTTCACGGGGGAGGCCGACTTCGAGGTGCGGCCACGCCAGCCGGCGGCACGCGCCTCACTGAAGGCAATGGACTGTCTGGGAGACGAGGCCACGATCTCTGACTGCGTGCTGCCCGCCTGGATTAACGTGACTGGAGCGCAGGTGAGAACGGAGACGAGAGCGTAGGTGAGGACGGAGACGGAGCATGAGTGAGAGCGAAGACAAGAGCGTAGGTAAAATCGGAGGCAGGAGTGCAAGTGAAAGCAAAGATGGGAGCGTAGGCGAGAGCGGAGAGGGAGCAAAGGTGAGAGCGGAGACGGGAGCGTAAGTGAGGGTGAGGACGGGAGCGTAGGCGAGAGCGGAGACGGGAGCGTAAGTAAGAGCGGAGACGGGAGCGTAAGTAAGAACGGAGACGGGAGCGTAAGTGAGAGCGAGGACGGGAGCGTAAGTGAGAGCGAGGACGGGAGCGTGGGTGAAGGCTGAAACGCGGGTGAGAGCGCGGACGGGAGCAAAAACGAAAGAGTGAAAGAGTGAGAGCGGAAACCAAAACTAAATTACACGTAAGGCTACAGTGGAGAGCGGGAGACAGCAGAGATCTGAAGCACTGAGGAGACCCCATGCCTTGCGATGGCTCACCAACAGCATTTTATAATTATGACATTGGCCCTACCCGTCTAAGAGCTTCCGAGAGTCGTACAAACTTCCTAACAATCAGTCGAGACAAAATAGCCTGTTTACTGCGTGGCATTGCCCCGAACTTTAAGAGCAGCCAGATCTCGCAGACTCCCCGCAGACCGCTCACCCCCCCCCCCCCCCTCCCTTCGGCAGGCGTGCAACGGCAGCGGCGAGGTGTTCGTGCGCTGCGACGCGCCGCGATCGGCGCCGCGGCCGCTGCAGGTGACGCCGCAGTGCTCCGCCGGTGACGCCGACCTCAGCCGCATCCTCGGCGGCAGCGCCGGCCGCATCGAGGACCACCCGTGGTACGCGCACCTGGACGCCGCCAACCTGGGCGAGCGCAAGCTCAAGTGCGGCGCCACCGTCGTGTCGGCGCGCTATGTGCTGACCGCCGGCCACTGCCTGTACCGCACGGACGTGGACACGGACCTGGCCGGCGGCGACCTGGTCTTCTCCCGTCGGCTGTTCGCGCTCGAGGACCTTTCCGTGGTGGTGGGCGACTCGGGCTCGGCCGTGATCGACCCGCACCAGCAGCGCTTCGGCGTGAAGCGCGCACACCGTCACCCCGGCCACCGCGCCATCAACATCTACCACAACGACGTGGCGCTGCTGGAGCTGGACGGTCGCGTGGTGTTCTCGGCGGGCGTGCAACCGGCCTGCCTGCCGCCGCCGGACGTGGCCTACACGCCCGACCTCGCCTGCTCGGTGGCCGGCCTCGGCAAGCTGTCGCCGGGCCTGTTCGGCGCGCTGCCGGAGCAGCTGCAGGTCGGCAAGGTGGCCTTCTTCACGCGGACGCAGTGCGAACGCTTCTACGGGCGGCGTAACATCACTTTCGGCATGGTGTGCGCCGGCGACGACCGCTTCGAGGTCGACACGTGCGACGGCGACTCGGGCGGTCCGCTCGCCTGCGAGCTGGCCGGGGTCAAGGTCATCATGGGCATCACCAGCTGGGGACAGGGCTGCGGCAGGAACGACTTTCCGGGCGTGTACACGCGTGTGGCCGCCTACGTGCAGTGGATTCACGGCATGATAAGCCCGGACAGAAATAGCTGATGCGGCCTGCTGTAGTCGCTGTTAGTTCCTGTCAGTCGTTGGAAGACGGCTGTTGGCATGTGCGAGCAAGGGGGGGGGGGGAGTGGGAGCGTGGGTGGTGATGGGTGCTTCGCAGAGCGCCTGGTACCTCAGATGCGGCCGCTGCTGTAACCTCTGGGGCGGTTTGTTGCGTCGCCCGCTCCCGCCGACCAGTTACCAGTAAGGTGGGTTGTCGCTAGTGATCATGACGTCTTCACTTCTGGACGTTTTGCGGCCTGATGGCTGCCTTTCAATGATGGGGTGCTGATCGGGCCGCTTTGCCAGGATCGGATGTTCATCTGGTTGCGGAAAAGTGGTGCTTTATCTAGTAAAGATAAGTAGTGGCAGTGCTGCAGTGGATGCTGAGCTGATTTTGCAATCTACATACCATATAGAATAAGCGTTTGTGATGCGTGCCACCTCTTCCATTTTCCCAAAGAGTGCAAATGGGAAGTATTGAGCATTCGTTTGTATATCACAGCGTGCCAAAGCTAGGATGGTGGCTTATTGGCCCTGCTGAAGTGAGGGGAGGTGAATGGGGTCGACAATTTGTGATTGGTCGATTGACGTTAGGCAACGCCATGGGGATGGTGTCTTTAAATACAACTGGGATGAACATGAGAGCAAATCCCTTAGCCGAAGGAATGTGAGTTTGGATTTGATATTCCATCAACGCATCAGCTACGACTGCACCGTGGCAGAAGACCGAGGGCTGCACGTCTGTTGTCTTTCTAATCACGTCCAAATAGTCAAAAACAAATGTCGCAAGCGTCCCGTGAAAGTTATCAGTTCATGACTGCATGACCGTAAACTCCGCTGTGAACCTTAAGTGGGCGATTATTTTGTCCTGAACCATATTATGTGCTAATTAAGCTTAGGTCCAACACAAAACAAGGTTGAAGAAAAACTGCGTACACCAAAAGTATGGCATGCTGTGATTTAAAGATATGATAATTGGTAGGATAAGTTAAGATGGTGATAGGTGACAGGCAAACACCCCTTTAAGTGATGTGCACGCATGGGCCTTGCCTTGAATACCGTTCATCGATTCAAGCCGGTACTCTTTGCCGTCTGATTTTTTTAAGTTTTATGATGGTAATGGATACTACATCACATATTGCGTAACTCTATTTTCATCTATGCACAACTACACTACAGAACACATTTCCACCAAAGCATCTCTAAAGCCCTTGGATTGCACCTCTGATGCGTCCTTCCTTTAAACCCTAACTCAGCCGCTCGCTCTCGTCCTGACCCCAGTCCACTCACAGCTGATCCCGTCTTTCTGATATTCTTGATCCGACCTCCGTCACAGCCCCGACCCGGCCACCATCCGGCCTAAGCGATCCTTTCTCACAACCTGAGACCTCCCTACCCTGCCCGACCTGACCCCGTCCCGACGGCTCGCTACACCCGACAGCCTTCTCAGTTAAAGTACACCTGGCGAGGCGCTGCCGCTGCCGCCGGCGCCGGCGCCGCCGCCGCTGCCGGCTCCGCGCCGTACGCTGCTGGGGGCTCGGTCAACGGCACCGACGGCGTCGGGTACTGCGTCGGCACCGGCGTCGGCAGCGCGGCACCCTGGGGCCTGAAGCCCAGCGCGTCGGCCACGTACGACACCTGGACGGCGGCTCCCTCCGGCGAGGTGTAGCTGAAGGAGCCGCTCGCCGCGCCGGCCGCGCCCTCCTCCTCGCGAGAGATCTCGTCCTCCGAGACGAAGCGGAAGCGGTAGGTGCCGTCGCCCGGGTGCTCGTTCGACTCCTCGAGGATGCGCGGCGCCGGCTTGGCGGCGCTGTAGGAGGCGGCCGGGGCGGCAGGTTCTGTCACGGTCGGCGCCGCGTGGCCCAGGTTAGAGGCTGACGCCGACGCCAGCAGAGCCAGCACCACGCACTGAAACGGGAAGCGCCGGTGAGCTTTTTCCCACCGCCGCGGGGAATGACTGGATGCCACGTAGCGTCACGTGACGTCACGAAGCATGACGCCATGCATGAGGTGCGTGCACACGACGAGGAAAACAGACTCCCCTTCTGAAGTGGACGTGGATAAGGGTCTAGAATGATCGCATTGAGATCATTATCGGGTGCAGCCTCACCGAGTTTGATTGCGTTCGTTGGGGGATAACGATGCCCAGGGAATTTGAGTTCCCTGTGCTTTCCTGTACTTGATTATGCTCGCCGTCCCTCTAGGGAACGGAAACCATTTTCGAATGCTAAAAGTAAATTTTGGTAGCACGATATCACGTCATTGATCACAGCGCTTATACAGTAATTTATCAAACGTGAAATGTTGTCAAGCAAAGCAAAGTCAGTAGTAGTGCTTATCTCTACACTCGGACTAAACAAGTTATGGCCAAAACCCCTCCCTGCTCTCACCAGCTTCATGGCTTTGTCTGGTGTCCGGTCCAGATCCACTGCCAAGCCAGCTCTGAGACTGGCGCCCCCGTTTCCGGCGGCTCCTTAAATACGCCCGGGCCGAGTGCGGCCCTGGCAGTGGCGACTGCAACTAGAGCGTCCTTTCCCCGGGCTGCAGTGGGCGAGGTCAGCGTCTCTGGCCCTACCCCTCGTCTGACCCGACCGCAGTCCACCCGACCGCCGCACAGACAGTAACGAGCTCGCCAAACCGCTCCCCAAATTGCCACTGGCTGGCGGGAACAGAGCCAGTGCACAGGCTGATGACAGCTGGTCCCGACCGCCGCACAGACAGTAACGAGCTCGCCAAACCGCTCCCAAATTGCCACTGGCCGGCGGGAACAGAGCCAGTGCACAGGCTGATGGCAGCTGGTGGGGCCAAGGCAGGCTCGATGTCAGAAGACCTGGCAGGCTTTTAAGAGAAGATTCGCTACTGTGTCAGAAAAGAAGACTGCGAGTCTTAACTTGTACCTGTTCTCTTTGACCCAGCCATGCCACCCGGTCAAGCCTTTCGATGTTGGAAAGGCGATGGTAAACGGTGCGCGCTTCGGCTAAATTTTTGATTATGTGAAACCTGCGGTAAGTGTTCAGAGATATAACACCTTCGATTATCATCAACGTCGGGTCAGAGATGCAAACTCCTTTCTCTCTTTCCTATACCTCACAAATTCCAGTTTCCTTACGGGAAATTAATTTCCACTCCCGCCAGCAAAGTCGTTTCGGGTATGCTCGAAGCATCGAAATACGAACTTGAAATACGAAAATCGAGCAAACAAACATGATCTAAGATATATATAACTTTCACTTTGGTCGTTCGGTGTCATGTGCATCACGACACACGCTCCCTCTCAACATGATGATTGCGAAAGCATTCTATGCTTGGAACCAGAACGGATCCAAATATAATTAGGTTAATGCCCAAGACCCACGTGAACTTATGACTCGTGGGTTCGCGTGGACCGCGGGCCTCCTTATATGATCACAGGGATGGGAAAGATACCAAATTAAGGGAGGAGGTACCATAGAAAATAAAGATCGTGTCTACACAACGCCAAATAGACCCCGAAGCTTAAGGTCTGGTCGTGTCCCCGCGAACACGTACAAAGACCCATCAACTTCAACGAAGGCATAAAACTTTGACACGACAGATGCCAGCACTACAAAGGAAAACCTAATCAGTAACATCCGGGAAGACTTTTGGTCAGAGTAGTCAGGTTACCCATAATAACGTCAGTCATAGGTTACTAGCGATGTCATGCAACACGGCCATGGAGGTCCGACCAGTGGCAGCACCGCGGAATTCGGGAGCGTGGAACTCGACAGTGTTCTCATTGGTTAACTGATTCCTAATCAACCGGATACCACCCGCCCGGCCCGAGAACGCTCCCCTCCCCTCCTCCATCCGTCCTCTGGTGTCCCAGCGGCCTCCACGTGTACCCGGCTCGCCACCCGTCCCCACCGGCCCCGCAGCGGCGAAGCATCTTGGCAAAGTACCAGGTACGGTGACCCAACAACGGGTACAGCATGTTGTCCCCTGCAGCCCGCGGCGTCAGAGAGCGGTGGCCGACCGTGAATACATGTCATTCCCTGCAGCCCGCGGCGTCAGAAAGCGGTGGCCGACCGTGAATACATGTCATTCCCTGCAGCCCGCGGCGTCAGAAGGCGGTGGCCGACCGTGAATACATGTCATTCCCTGCAGCCCGCGGCGTCAGAAGGCGGTGGCCGACCGTGAATACATGTCATCCCCTGCAGCCCGCGGCGTCAGAAGGCGGTGGCCGACCGTGAATACATGTCATCCCCTGCAGCCCGCGGCGTCAGAAGGCGGTGGCCGACCGTGAATACATGTCATCCCCTGCAGCCCGCGGCGTCAGAAGGCGGTGGCCGACCGTGAATACATGTCATCCCCTGCAGCCCGCGGCGTCAGAAGGCGGTGGCCGACCGTGAATACATGTCATCCCCTGCAGCCCGCGGCGTCAGAAGGCGGTGGCCGACCGTGAATACACGTCATCCCCTGCAGCCCGCGGCGTCAGAAGGCGGTGGCCGACCGTGAATACATGTCATTCCCTGCAGCCCGCGGCGTCAGAAGGCGATGGCGGTGAGCTTTGCGCCGCGGCAGGAGATGACAAGTCAGGAATAGCATGCAATACGCTATGGCAATACGCAACACTGAGCTGCCGAAAGGACCGCCTGCCGCGGAAAGGTCGAGAAGCGCCTCATTACCATGCCTTAACAGCGAACTCGCCTGACGCCCAGCAGCGCTCCGTTACGGACGGCTGCTCTGAATAAATCATTAATGCCATAATCGATAACTGCCGGCGTGCTATGAATTCATAATCCCTCAAAGCCTATCTTTATTGCATGATACAAAACATGGTATCACGATTTATGAGTCACCGCCGGGCGCTATTTCCCGTGCCACAACACGGCTGACCAGCAAAGGCGGCAACGCTGTGACACGTCCCCACAACTTTAAAAACATTCGGCCTGCCTTATAGAGACCCGTAACTGTCGATCGCTTACATGCGTTCTCGCGAAGCGAGTAAAAACGTAAAATGTCATACAAAACGTTATACATACTTGGCCCAACCATGATTGCCAGAAGTTCTCCGAAGCTAGGGGTGCTGTGTCCATTCTTTTCCAGTTAACACCCATAGGGACAATGGTAACTTTTCAGAAAGTTGAAGACCCAGCCTCTTCTTTGGTTCCCGCGCCTCTTTCGTTGGTGTGTCTGTTTCAAGCGTTGTGTTCCCGACAGGACTCTACCAATGCTGACGAAATAGCAGACCAAACAAGGCTCGCGCAACTCCTCTCGACAGGAAGTTTTTCGCACGGTGCCCGGACAAAAAGTTGAATGGAAAAGGCCGAGTAGAAAAATTCCAGAGATAAAAGCTGAATCAGGAAAAGCCAAAGGACAAAAGAGAAATGGGATAAAAGTGGACAATGCTTAACATCGAAACATATAAAAGCCGACACGGTAAATAGTCAAAGGACAGGGGATGATCTGCATCTAAGGAACCTTGCTCCAGAGGCAGCAAAATTGTGCAAGAAAAGCTTGGTGTGAAAAACCTTACCTAACGAGAAATGCATTCCGAGAAACTCTGGCTTACTACTCTATATGCCCATAGATTATAAACATGTCACAGAATGTCTGGTTTTTAAGATTAGACAGACAGATGCGTGGTTTCTAAGATTTCTTCTTGGGAACCAGTTCCTGGTACCTGAACCAGGAAGAACCCAGGGACAAGTTTGAAATCAAAGTAAAGACTCATCAAGAGCTATATACCAGTGCTGAGTTGTACTGATGACAATTTACCTGCGATGTTAAACAACTGCCAAATAACCCGAGCTGACCTGGAGACCCGAGCTGAGGTCTACGAATGAGCCAACGAGAGGCCTGAAGTGGGCTGAGCGAGCTATTGGAAACCAGGAACCTGGGTATGTTTTTTGTAGAAGTCAGTACGAACCATAAACCATAGGCTGGTCTTTGTAAACGAACCAGTGCGAACCATGCACCAGGGCCTGGTGGTTGTGAAAGAGCTGGTGGGAAACCAGAACCAAGGCCTGGTGTTTGTGAGAAAACTAGTGGGAAATCAGAACAAGGGCCTGGCATTAGTGGAAAGACACTGAAAACCAGGAAGTGGGTTCCAGTGCCAGGCATTGGAACCAGGCATGTGTCTGTCCTGGACCAAGTTTCGAAAAAAAAAGATTTGGGACGGGCGCCGTCGCTGTACACTGCTTAGTGCCGTGAACATCTCTGTTGCTCATGATTGCCTGTGCTAATGGCCGAAGGAATAATTTTCGGGGAAGTGGATAGAGGCTAGCAGGCTGGTCATAGATGCCCCTGATGACTCTCCTGCCTAGAAATCACTTGTCTACTTGTTCCTTTACCTTTGCCTCAATCAGCTTTCATTAATTTTGCCTTTTTTCTTTTAAATTGCTCCTAATCTAACTTTCATCCCCGGCGACTGTAGCCTCTTTTGATCACTCCAACTTTTCCGATTGCACTTAAATTTCTCTCGATTTTTACCTTGGCAACGTTGTGTTCCTTGTATTTTTACGATTTAACTTTTATCCCTGTCGACTTTATTCATTTTGTCTGCATGTATCTGAATTTTTCGTACCACTTTTTCCATTTGACTTTTTTATTTAACTTTTTATCCGGAAAACCCCTTGCCCTGCAAACCCCATGGTACGCGCTGGTCACATCGGCTGTTTAACGCCTTTATCACACTTCACAGTTGTTTGCACACTTCCCCCTCCGGAGGGGCTTGGGACTTTTTGTCTGGTTGCACGGACTCTGCCTCCAATGTTGAGCTGCACCCCTCCCCACAAAGAGATCGGACTGGGCTCCTGCTGTGCGGAAGTTGGCCAACGTTACTTCATTACTTCTTTCAGATGATAACACCTAAAAATTTTGCAAATAAAAAATCAATTTCACGGCCAAGGCATATTTCCCTGTGTCCCTGTGATCCCCTCGGTTCTTCACTAGCAGTGTTGGGATCGGCCGGTAAGCTGACTCTCGTGAGCCCGGACACTGCGACCACGTGCCAACCTTTTAAATTTGCATATGCATTAACATGCGTATTTTACTCAATGCGGATCATTAAGGTATCCAGGGGCACGTTGAGTACACTGAAAACATGCTATGCTATACGTAAAACGAAACATTTCTTGCGCTCGCCGCGCGTTGAATTAAGTTTTGGATGTACATTTTTAGTTATTCCTCATTGCAAAGTCCGCATAACCCACTGGGCACAAACACAGCATTTGAGACCACTGAAAGTCCGCGTGCGTTTTCTCAACCGATGTGCTTGCGACGGCATGACGTACATTTGTCATGCGCGTCATACGGCTACGGCTTTGTACGTAGCCATACTCAAGCATCGCCTCGTGCTGCATGGGTCGCCTGTCAGGGCTATGCATCGCTCCGGAAGCCAATCGCCAGGAGAGAGGGCGTCAGCTTACCTACCGCAGACCAGACAGATAAACTGAAATGGATGTCCCGTTAAAGTACAGCTCGGCAGTGCACCTTGCACGTCCGCCCGCGACCGAGCGCGACCCGGCGAGGCGTGCGCCGGTCACCTTTGTGCCGCCCCTCCGCTGCCGCGAATGCCTGCTGTGAAACATCTGCCACTTTGTCACGCCACTGCGCTGTAGGCCTTGAATTTCGGTGTTATAGCTTAGTCACGCAAAAGGAGCGAACGGATATTTGTTTGTCCCTTTTGTGGGATTCTATATTTTCACAAGTCGGGGACAGGTTTCACTGATTGACAGCTTGCATTTCATTAGGACCTGCATGATGATCCTGATGAGGACAGCATGGCGCCGAGACCCCCAACTCATGTCGACCACCTTGCTGCTGCTACTACTGCTACCCTGCCTACTGAACTTTCATCCTGTGCACTGAAAGGACTTTGTCGTATTGCTGCTATGCTTTGCTTTGCATACAAATCGCAGCCCATAGACGGACGGAACGCGTCATGTCTGTGGCTGCAGATTTCCGAATGGGCCGCAACCCACCAGCTCACTGAATCCGGCAGATTATAACCTTACAGTAATGGGGACGACCTATCGAGGATAGAAAATCCGAAAAGTCAGTGACGCACGGAGCGGCACGGTGGAAAATCCCAACACAACGCTGGCTAGAGATCCGGCTAAGGCTGGCGGGGTTGAGCTAGGTCACCCATGCTGGGTGCATGGGTGCATGCATGCTGAGCTAGGTCACCCTGACCCTGTCCCCAAAACCAAGAATACATACCGCCGACCATGCTAACTTCGAACTCCTACCCGCAGCGTTCTGATGCCATTTCCAGCAAGGTACATTGTAAAATAGCCCGGACATGTTGGAGTGTGATCGATCACGCAGCTCGCGCTTGTTTGACCACACCCCGTTTCGTTTCTCGAGCCGGACTTCTCGGTACATTATCAGCCCCCTACCCAGCAGCGATCTTTTGACGCCTTTCTCCTCGAGCGCCTGCCGGATTTCCACACCCGTTACACGACCATGGAGCTGCCGCTGCACTGGCGGGTGCCAGCGCGCTAGACAGAAGGCACGAAAATCGCGCTTCGTCCTCGGACCAAAAGTGCTCATCCTTCGAATGCAAGGGGCGTGGACATGCGCACGTCCCCAGTTGCAAGCGCCCCCTAATGGCGTGGTCCAATTTATGACCAACGTGATTCTCGCGCAGACAAATTGGATTGCTCAATGGCGCCCTGGTTTCGGCCAGGCTGACCCTATCCGGTAACGACGGAGAGGTGCTGGTCGGCATGACCAGGGCTGTAGTTCAAAGCGATCAGTTGGAGACGTCTGTAGCAGCAATTCGTTTGCGGCCACATCTGAAGCGGTGTGACCCAGCTGACTGGCACCTCTGAGGTGGTCTAAACCGAACAAACAGTACCCACTCGTGAACCGGCCTAACCGGCGCAAGGCCCAGCGGTGTGTGCATTGCCACCTGTCGATAGCACCTCCGACTGACGGCTCGCGGGGTCTTGGCCGCCCGCTTATGATATCGTGAGAACCGTGCTGTGAGTAATGTGGGCTGAATGTCTGAAGCAAATGACACGTGAGTAATCTGGGCTTTGCAGCATGTTCAATTAAGCTGTCTGGGGTTTCGTACTGCGCCTCATTCGACCCCAGCTCAAGACATTGAGGAGTTTCACTACACACCTCTAGTCGGGCGCAGATGCAGCACAAACAGACATGTGGCTTATAAGTCAGCAGATCCGAGTCCAAGACGTCCAAATATTCGGGCGCGTTGGTTCCGACGCGGTAGAGTGACGACACGTGGAGAGCACTCACCGGGCGATCTCTCTCCCGCTGGTGCACGCTCTCCAAGGCAGCACGCGACGCTGATGGATTAGCGTGACGTCACCAGCTCAAGCCTGAGTGACAGCCGAGCACACGGGTTTTGAGCCACGTGTGCGTGTCGCTCGACCTACGAGCGATGAAGAGTAGGCCACAGGGCAGCAGTCACCGACCGCGCGGTTTTAAGGTGCTGCGTCGGACCGCCGATCTCAGTCGCGCGTCGAGCTCGGCGAGGAAGCGTGATGGAGAGCAGCACGGTGTGCGTGACGCTGTTAGTGGCCGCTGTCCTGGCGATGGTGGAGGAGGGGTGGGGGTTCTCAGACATCCACCCTGTCGACGTAGAGCCGGGTAAGAGCTCGCGTCTGCACGGCCTGTGTGGTTACATGCTTTTATCCCATTCCGGCAGAGTTTTACGGGGTGTTATGGTAAGTTCAGTAGTGGATGCTGGATCATCGTGAATCGAGCTAGAAGCATCAGGCTTACCTAACGGGCATTTTCAGGCCAGCAGATAGCAAACCAGCTGTGAAAAGCAACCTACTTGATATGTATGCAACAGGCCACGAGAAAGAGTGCTGGGTGTCTACCAAGGGCCGCTACTAACAGCTCGGTTCGACCTGGACGGAGGACGGCACATGCGAGAGGGTCATGTCGTCCATACAGCAATTGGTGGCACTACATTGACAGAGAAGGGTAAATCATGTCCGTGCCCGCAATCTTGCCATTGGCATAACCTTGTTTCCCTGGTTTCTTATGTTTACCAAATTTTCAGTTTTTAAGTTGTTTTAATGCCAGCACGGCACCTGCAAACAGCCACCACATTCGGCGACCACAAAATCAGAAACTGCGCGATCGGTTTGCTTTCTCGTCGCCGCCACGGGCGTACTGAACACGTGGCTTGTTTCCAGCTGTTCCCCAGCGACGCCACGGCCGTACTGGTGGCGTGGCTCGTTTCCAGCTGTTTTCCGGCGACGCCCCCGCCCGGCTGCCGACTGGAGGCGTCCCCGCAGCGGCGGCGACTACCTTACCCGAACTGCTCTCCCGTGATACGGTGTTCGGCGACCGCGTGACGAGTCCGGAGGATCGGGCACGTGGACGGCACCTCGCCTTATGTTGACTTTTGATACAGGCGTGGTGAGACTCAACTGCAATACAATACAAATAAAAACGTGTTTGGAACGTGCACGTCGAAAAAGAACTAGCACGTTTTATGTCAAAATTCGCGCAGTGAATGCCCTCAAGGATACAGAAAGTTTGGGCACGATTGCACGCCATGCCGGAGAGGTATACTTCGAAACCCTCAGGGGTCGTGTGCCAAGCTGATCGTTGGTTCGAAGCGCTGGAAGTTGCACACAATCTACCGGCCTCTTCAAGTATCTCAACCTCAAATACAGCCACAAGGCCCGCTTCATTGCGGACCCACAATCAGGCCAGCATCTGCCGAAGAGACGCCTTCCGGCCAGATTCTTATTCATTCTGCTAAAATACGGTTTGGTGCACGCGTTGTGTGACAAATTCAAAACCTGGCCCTGCAATGGGGACGGGGTGATACTAGTTTCCATTATTGGGACGACACTGCTGACTGCCTGGTCATCAAAGTGGAAGTTTTAGACCAGGCCACCGATCCCGGTGACCCGACCAGAGCGTGGGTGGTATCAAGTGCAACATTGTTGATCTCGCCCACGCTGGGGCGCGATAACCTGCCACTAAATACCTCGCCCGATGAAAGCCTGGCCCTCTGAGGCCCATTACTGTCTCTCAGTAGTGGATAGATGAAATTTAGATATAAAAACACAGGTAATTCTATTTTGCGTCTGGACATTAAACCAGAAAAGGCAGTGGGAATAGCCTTATTCCTCGGAGAAAAACCAGGAGATTGGAGACGTTTCGATGCAACATGCATTTATCAAAACAAAGAGCAGAAGTAAATTCAGCAGCACTCATTCCCGCTCTTCCTTTCGATAAAGGCATGTCGCCGAACCATCAAGGCGTCTGTATTAAGTCACGCCACGGATTAAGATTCTCCTAGTTTTTCTGCGAGGAATAATACCATCACTACTGTCTTAACTGTGTGAATAATGTTCCTCGCAAATGCACTTAGCAACAAAGATAAAGCTAGATTATCTTCTGACATAGACTGATAAGTAACCCAAAAGCCTACAATTGGAGTAACAATCACTTGCACTGACTACGGATGGGCAGAGCCCGCGAACCAAACGAAAGCTCTTTCAGACAGCTGTAAATAAACCTTAAAAAATGAGCCACTCACCAGCAATGCCATCCTGGAATCAATCCAGCACAGTATCACGTGCATAAACCCCACTGAGTAGGCATTAATGCATCAGATAGGAAAAGCATTAAGTGGAGTGGCCAACATCACCAAAAATATTAACGAGCCTAACCCTCGCTCATGTGGGGAACCCCTCATCCGTAAGTTTTCTGAAGATAACCCTCCGGCATATTGTACAATCGCGCCCAAAATATTCTCAGCCTCTGAGGCATCTATGGTACGTGTTTTAACACCAAAAACTTGTCTATAACATACCTGTTTTTAAAAGGGAGGGTTTTTAGGAACCCTACTCGGCGACCAGCAGACGGGGCGGGTGGCGGGACGACGCTGTTACATAAACGGAGCCCGACATGGCATGCTCAAAACATGCTAAGCTAAAAAACTACACATGATCGTACTTATAACTAAAAAGCTACACGTGATCGCACATATAGCTAAACAAGGAACACGTCTGCTAAGAATTCGTGTAACTACGGGCGATGGTTTCTTACAAAGAACCGTGGAAATTGAAGGTGTTCGATTTTCAGGAAAATTTAGCCCTTGACATATCTATTATCTAGGATCATAAAACTTCTTACAGTTGCGAGATCTAGTTCAGAAAACCAACTACTTTGCATTATGCACTTAATATTTCAACTTGTGCAGGCTTGACGGTATTGCTCTGGCAACGAAAGGAAATGAGATGTCTTGCTCGAGTGAGGGGGTCAAATTGACTCCCCCCCAAAGGTTTTACCAGGATGATTTACGAGCGGCGACGAAGCCACACCAACCCTTGCATGATTGTAGAAAATTAGATAGCGGATCTTTTCATGCAAATACTAATGCACTTCGTAAGGTATCTGACTTATCGCAGGTCAAAGTCAGGTCATGGCTGTCAGCGAAGGGCATTTCTAGTGAATCTTTCGATGTGTTGCAACAACGGAATGTTAGACGAAGTCATACACATTTGAAATAGTCTTCTACGTAATAAACCAATTTAATTTAGAACTACAACCAATGCCATTGACCTAGGGTCACGTACACAGGTCAGAACAACGTCAAAACTAACCTGATTTTTCATTCAAGAGCTTGGTTTTTGGATAATTATCTAAACTTTAAATTTTGTATTTTACTATTATCTTAGTTCAACACAATCATTTTTTGTCAAGTATAAATTTTTGGGCATGGCTTTCTGGTGCTCATTTCGAAGTTATTTATGACAGGGACCACAACGGACATGATCCATATACACTTTATGGGTCAGGGTAGGTTGGGTCAGGTCAACATGATGTGTTTAGGAACATATCAGCTAACGTAATCCCTGACGCTTATTCGAAGGGCAAAATAGGAGTAATCTCGTAAATATTTGGCCACCTTGACCATATAAAGGTCAAACAAGGTCACTAGCTTTACTGAACTATTGCTTGGAATAGGTATCTAGGTTCACGCTGGTTGCATAAGGAGGTCTGGAGGCACTTGAGACACCAATCTGGACTCTGGCCTTTTTGACCTTATCTGACCCTAAGGCCATGATCTAAGAGCCTCAGTTTGAAGAAATGACTTCACGTACATTTCAATCTTCTCTGAGAATTTGGTGTCTCTAGCTGTCTTATTTTTGAGATCTCAACAGGTCAAAGTGACCCCCACTCCAGTGAACGAAATTCAGCTGGCCTCCCGTGCGTGTGTTAAAGAAATCTAGCAGAAGTCATTCAATGAAAACATGGGTAAGCATCGCATGCATGCACATGAGGCCTGAAGACACCCCATGTTCAAAATTAGACCTTAACCTCATGTCAAACATTGTATGGCAACAAAATACCCAGGAGATCCAACAGCAATATTACTTGGTAGATTAATTGGATATGACTGGTAAGACAACCTGAAAGGCTTTGCAGGACTTCAAGAAGGCACCAACTGCACATCAACAATGTGGTCACCTTCAGCAACAGTTATGGCCAAAGACCAATGATTGGCTTCTTGAATGAATCATAATTACACACATCCCTCGCAATTAAAGACACACTTAACATAACTAGCCCGATAACAGTGTAGTTTCCTATTCCGGATGGAGTGGAGGTGGGGGGGGGGGGGGGGGGAGGGGCTGTGCCTCCCATGCAGGCATGTAATTTGCCATTTCTGAGCATCTTTTATTCATCATTTTTAGAGTCCAATCGATCCCCGAGCCCCGCAATCTACGTTGGAGAAACTACTCCCAGGCTCCCAACTTTGAGACGAAAGTGGGTCAAATCTGGGAAACACTTTTAACTGCATTTCGAAGGCAGGCTTAGCCTGGTGTCTGGCTGAGCCACACCCCCTTCCTCCCCTTTTTCCTCGCCCGTAGTTTTTTTTTGCAGAACTGCAGCCCTGTAGCCCTACATCCCCCGACTGTCATAGTTTTGTAAGGACCTGAAGAAAATTATTTTTGGTTAGGGGACGTCATCACAAAATCAGCTGGAAGTATTGGCGACCACCAATATCTTCGGATAACCGTTAGCAGCGCAGAACTCGCACTTGCTAACGCGGTCTTAATCAACGGAATATGGTACGAGACCGATGCAATATTGGTATCAACAGATGCACAAGACATTTGTCAACGCCTTTAGTACCTGTATTTAGCACTTTATACAATGTATGACAATAAAAAGCGTTTTACCTCAAGCTTATCAACCGGGAAACTCACTAAAACTGCGGTGCGGTGGGCGATGTATGGGACCTACGCCAGCGATACTCAGCCTCTTACCCCAAAGTCGCTGCTCCTCTCGGCAGCAGAAAGCCCTGGATTAATCCTCGATATATGTCTATCCAATATCCTCCGTCGACCTTCGAAGCCACTATCGGGTGTCGACAAAAAACGAGCCTCCTCTAGATCGCCAAGGCTTTTCGACGGCATTTCCAGGGACGCCCTAAATGGGGGATCCACAGAAGAGGCGAACAGCGCGTTACAAAACTGACGATTACCTACGCATTCCAAGCCGGTAAGCTTCTCAGAATACGACAACCAACAGTACGCTACAGTTTTGCACTGAACGCGATTATTAGCCGCGTTGCGAACATGGAAGCAGTTGGTCTCAAACGGCGATATGATTTAAAACGCCGCGCAACAGACCGATCCCACTCGTCGCAATGTGCTGAGGCCGCGACGACGCTTACGACTAGTAAAAAACTTAGTGATGTGGTGTTTTATACTGTTACGTATGTGAAGTGACTCTTGTCTTAAAAAAATAAAGG